GGTCATCTACCAGACATCGCTGCTGGCAGTGTTGCCACATCACTGAGCCAGCCACCGTCAAGGAGCGCTTGCCTCGCCAGACTCTGAGGAGTGGCGCCAAGCCATCCTGGACGAGTTTGCGGCAATGCAGGCCCAATGACGTCTACGACGTCGTGCCTCGCGCTGACCTTCCCAAGGGCCACAAGCTGCTCCGCAGCATGGTCATCTTTCGGAAGAAGCGTGACGACCAGGGCAAGGTGATCAAGTACAAGGCGCGCTGGGTTGCCAAAGGCTACTCCCAGGTCCACGGTGTCAACTACACGGACACCTTTGCCCCGACGGCTACCATCGCAGCCATCCGCACCATGCTCGCCATGGCCGTCGCGCGTGGCATGAACGTCCAGCAGATGGACGTCAACACGGCGTTCCTCAACGCGCCCGTGGATCACGAGATCTACGTCCAGCCACCGGCCGTCGACGGCATCTTCTCGCCGAATACGGTCCTGCGCCTCAAGCGCGGGCTGTATGGGCTGAAGCAGAGCCCGCGCCTGTGGAACCACACGCTGGACGCCTGGATGCGCGAGCAGGACTTCGTCGCCACAGCCACGGACGCCTGCATCTACCGCCGCACCTGCAAGGGTGGCAAAGTGATGTGGGTTGCCGTCTACGTGGACGACCTGCTCATCTTCGCCGACAGCGACATGGCCGCGTTCAAGAAGGCCATCTCCAAGCGCTTCAAGATGAAGGACCTGGGCAGCCCAGACATATGTCTCGGCATCAAGGTGCAGCACGACCGCAAGGCCAGGACCGTCACCATGAGCCAGGAGCACTACCTGCGCAGCGTGCTGGAGACCTTCGGCATGGCTGACTGCAAGCCGGTTGGCACGCCGCTCTGCACAGGCTACGTCGACAAGCCAGCCGACAAGGAGGAGCCACTCCCGGACGTGCCGTTCCGCGAGCTGCTTGGCTCCCTCCTCTATGCTGCGACGATGACGCGCCCAGACATCTCGGCGGCTGTCTCCATCCTGTCTCGCCGTATGCAGCACTTCGGCATGGACCATTGGAAGGCTGCCAAGCACCTTCTTCGCTACATCAAGGGCACCTTGTCCTACACCATCAAGTACGCCGCCACTGGCGACACCAGCAACGGCAGTACTGTTGACGGCGTGCTCTCAGCGTACTCGGATGCGTCCTTCGCCTCCGACGTTGACACGCGACGTTCCCGCACGGGCTTCGTCGTCTTCTGTTCCACGGGGCCCGTGTCCTGGAACTCCAAACTGCAGGCCACCGTGGCCACAGCCTCTGCCGACGCGGAGTACATGGCTCTCGCAGCCACCGCACAGGAACTCATGTTCCTTCGCCAACTCCAGGAGGAGCTCACCGGCGCCGTCCTGTGCGAGCCCACGCTCGTCCACACGGACAACCAGCCGGCGCAGCGCGTTGCCGAACACGCCGCCTCGCGCATGCGGCACATCCTCGTCAAGTACCACTACATCCGCGAGTGCGTCGACACCAAGAGGATTGTGCTGAGCTACCTCGCCACGGAGCACATGATCGCAGATCTCCTCACGAAGATCCTCCCTCGGCCCAAGACGGCTCAGTTCTGCACGATGCTGTTCGACCAGCGTCCTCTGCCAGGCTGCCAGCCACGGGCCCGTCCTCATTCGGGCCGGTCGCCACGTCCTTCGACTCCGCGTCAGGACCTCTGAGCGGCCGCGCACCACAGGACACGCCTTCACTCGGGCCAGCCTTCCACAACAGGCTGCGCACCACAGGCACCAACCATTTTCTTAAACGTGTTCCACAACACACGTCCTTACTCGCATCTCACCTACATCTGCCCATGCCATTCCTACATGCATGACATCATCCACATGCTCATCACGTTTCAGAACATCAACGCAGCAGAGAGGTAGGTCAATGCGGGGGAGTGTTGACAGGCAAGTCCTGTCTGCTGAGTCATCATTGACCTCCCTTCTTCACGACACCACAAATTTACATTCACCTCTCTTGTGTTCTGGAATGTTCACGTGATTTCCCTCCAACCTGTTGCACGTGCAGTGTTTAGCTTGTGTGGTTGCTCGATGTTACATGCTC